TCGGGGAATATCAAGCAGGGTTCAGGCAAAATAGATCTACTATTGACCAACTATTTACAGTTAAACAAATACTAGCCAAAGCATGGGAATATGACATAGACGTCTACAATCTCTTTGTACATTTCAAGCAAGCCTATGATTCAATAGATAGAACAATACTACCTAATATATTACAAGAATTTGGCATACCATCAAAATTAATAAGACTAGTGCAAATGACAATGACAGAAACAGAAGCACATGTATGTATTCAAGGACAGATCACTGATGCGTTTATGACAACGCAAGGACTGAAACAAGGTGACGGACTGGCTCCAACACTTTTTAATCTTGTTCTTGAATATGTAATTAGACGGTTGACGGTGAGCAGAAATAACATACTTACAAACAAATCTACCCAATTAGCAGCATACGCAGATGACATAAACATAATGAGCAGAACAAAGACTGCGGCAGAAGAAACCTACGTTCAGTTGAAACAGAGTTCAGAAGTTGTAGGGCTAACAATAAATACAAATAAAACAAAACTACTCATACAAACCAGATCAAATAGACAGGCGCAACAACAACAATTTATAGACGATATAGAATACGTGAATAGATTCACGTATTTAGGAATGGATCTGGTCGAAAATAATGAAGAAGAACCGGAAATAAATAGAAGGCTTATGCTGGCAAACAAAGCCTATTTCGCGATGAGCCACATATTCAAATCGCGAGACGTACACCGGAAAACAAAACTCCGGGTATATAAAACAATAATCCGACCCATAGTAAGTTATGGGTGTGAAACATGGGTTATAACACAGAAATCTACCAATGCATTAGACGTGTTCGAAAGAAAAATATTGCGTAGAATACTGGATCCAATAAAGGAAAATAACAACTGGCGAATTAGATATAATAACGAAATATACGAACAATACACTGAACCAACACTAGCACAATACACTAGACTGCAAAGATTACGATGGGCAGGGCATGTGGCCCGCATACATGAGAACAGAATCCCCAGAAAATTACTAAACGCAAGAATGCAAGGAAAAAGACCTGTTGGAAGACCAAAAAAGAGATGGGAAGACGAGGTAGATGAGGATGCCAAAAATCTCCTAAAAACGCGTTCATGGAAAAGAACAGCAGTAAAAAGAGATGTTTGGAGAGGTTTATTGGATGTCCATTGTCCATTGGATGGATGGAACTTCTCTAACCTAGTTACTTTAACTTTTTTCTTGTTAAAAGAGTTTGTTGAAAACTTATTGTATTAAAAAATTACTAATTCAAAAATATCATCTCGAAATCGAAACAATTAGAACGCGGAATAAAAATGTATGGAAGACGAACATAATAATAATAGACAACAAAAGTATGTAAAAATGCATTGAAATAAACCAGCAAGTGCTGGAAAATTAAAGATGGGCCCTTGAAGAAAAGCATTTCAGCAGCAAACGTGGTGCTAAAGGTATGATGGAAGACAATCTGAGAAAGAGGAATTAAAGTGGAATGTAGCAAGATAGAAATATAGAGAGATTGGGAAGGCTGCTTGGCATGGGGATAAACGCAATGATGATTTTTTTTCAAATTAAATGCCATATTCTTTACTTTTCTTAAACAAATAGTTGTATTTTCTTATATTTATTGGTTTTCCTTTTCACAACGCTACCAAACAGCTTAGTTTTTTTCTTATCAGTTAAATAGATTGACAAAGTAGTCAATTTCAAAATGATCGCTAATGATGTTAACAATAATATGGATTTCAAATACCCGAGGAATATCTTCTACAGTTTTGTACATGTAAAGTGTTAAAGAAGAAAGAAAAAAATATTAATATATTATTCAGCATAAAAATCGTACCCCATCGAATATATCCATGACTTCGTCCCACCACTATAAAAAATAAAAAAATATTGGATCATTAGAAAAATTTTAAACCTCTAATAATGCTAATAATTAATAATATATTACTTTTTTAAGTTAATATTTAAGATATTACCCGAGCTATTTTGTAAAGTTTTTTTTAGTATTTTACAAAAATCTAAACAAAAATTGATTATCAACTAAACAACAGCTAAGGTTATTAAACAAAGAGGATATATTTTAATAAAATACATACGTGTATGGTAACTTACAAAAGTGAATATATAAGGGTTTTCATCCACGAAGCAACTGGTTAATTATCAAACTATTAAGCGACTGTACTTTTTTATCGGTTTTTGTTTTTAGATAACTGATTTTATGCGTGTCTTCAGTGTGTTTCATTTTTTCAGTTACTGGCGTTTATTTATTATCTTTTGTTACAAAGTGTAATTTGAGAATGTTACAAGAAAAACCGTTACAATATTCAAACATTCAATGCCATTAATTTGACTGTATATACATTATTACAAGCGAGAAGTTGCTTGTTAAGCATTGACCAAATTTTATACATAAAATTCATTTCTTCTCTGACCGCTAAGCGGAAGAGATCGAGCTTCTAACGTTATCTTCAATACAGTGTTGTCAGGTATGTAAATTTTAATAGTGAGAATGAGAAATGACAGACAATTAACTTTATATATTTGAAGCTTTTTAAAGCTTCTTTTTCGTTGCTTTTAATGTGTACTTAAAATAAAAACAGAAAGAGATCTCAGATCAGATCAGACCAAATCTCAAAAAACAGAAAGAGAGAACATGAATAACTTGAAACTGTAACCTTTCTGGGATCATGAATAAATTGATTCTGTGTAGAATTTTTTGTAATCTTCTGCTTGAATATGATCTGCAAAAAGATTTGAGAAACCGGAGAGTGACCCAACGACTGGACAACATCCAGTTTCATCACTATATTCAAAAAAGAATCTCCGCTAGATTGCACCAACTACAGAACGGTAACCCTAATATCCCATGCAAGCAATGTTCTACTTCATGTAATACATGAAAGACTCAAAGCTTTTCTATTGTGTCAGATATCAGAAGAACAAGCGGGATTTGTCCCAGGAAAAGGCACAAAAGAACACATCCTTATTGTTAAACAGCTAATCGAAAAAACTCGTGAATTCAATACTTCTATGCTTATGTGCTTTGTGGATTACACAAAGGCCTTCGATAAAGTCAAATGGCAGCAGCTATGGTACATACAAGCGGAAAAGGGAACACCCCACCACTTAATTCAACTAATTAGAAGTCTATATGAAAATAATAATTGCACAGTAAAAATAAACAACACCCATTCTGATCATTTCAGAACAGAGGCAGGTGTCACGCAGGGATGCATAATCTCGCCAACTCTGTTTAGTATTTACAGCAATCACATTAAGCTAAAGGTACTATACGGATGGAAGGGTGAAATATCAGTAGGAGGTTAAAAAATCAGTAACTTGAGATATGCTGATGACACTTTAATAATCGCGGCAAATCAAGAAGAAATGGAAGAGATAATGAGATGTCTGAGGAGAAAAGCAAAACATATGGACTAAAGCTAAATAGAAGTAAGACAAAGATGATGCTAGTAGACAGAGCTCAGAATAATATTCAACACATTAAAGAAATTGGGGGCTTTTTTAAATAGTAAATAGTTTTATATACCTGGAGTCCCTAATAACAAATGACAGAGGGTGTGACAGAGAGGTACGTAGAAGGGCTGGTAAGGGCACTCATTTTCCCATAACCACATATGCATCCGAAACGTGGACCTTAAAGAAAGCGGATAAAAATAAACTAAACGCTTTTGAAATGTGGGTATACTGCCGCATGTTAAGAATATCCTGGATTTATCATCACACTAACGTATCGATATTAGAACAATTTAAAGTAAAGGATAGATTGCTTAAACAAATACAACAGAGATATTTGCAGTGTTTTGGACACATTGCAGAAGAGCAAGTACGATGGAAAAACTGAGAGTAAAGGGTAGAGTTGAAGGAAAGAGACCTAGGGAAAGATCTCCAAGCCGTTGGGTAGATCAAACAAAAATATTGATTAACCAAGGGTTACATGAAGCCGAACAACTAGCCCAGGACGGGGAAGGATGGAGGGAAATTGTGAAAAAACTGTAAAGGCTTGATGGTGCTACCACATTCTAAAAGGGATTAGGACTGAGGAGAAGGCTTGAATATGCTGGACGTAACTTCAAGCCCTTTGGTATTAAGTTGTTATCCTACATTTTCGTAAACATTTAATCGAATTATGACAATGTGCCAGTTTTTCGTATAGAATTTCCAACCTACTAAAAATTTGAATGACGCTAGGCCTATACCGGTTTCTTAATATTGTTCTAAAGCACCTTTCTTGTGGCATCTTAATGCAATTTGCTATTTTTAATGGGAATAAGTTTATTTGACGTTTAGATTTTAACTTCAGAAGTTGTTCTCAAAATGTATTGAAGATATAAAGAAATAAATAAGAGAACTTTAAATTCATTTGTGTATAGAAATAATAACCTTTATAGAATATTTGTAACCATAGCTGCAGGTCCAATTAGCAGAAAATGTGTTATTTATTATATAGAATAGAGAAAGATTTTTACAAAGCCATAAATGTGGTGGGGATACTGTTATTTGGAATAAATATGTGTTCAATTTCCAAGAGATATCTCCTAAATAGCGGCAATCTTACATTAGGAAATACAAAAATAAAATTGTTTTGTAATAGTGTGTAACCAGTTTCTACGTGGACGAAGTGCCTAAGTCATTGCGATGACACGTGCACGTAAGGTAGAAATAAATAGTAAATGTGTATCTATATAAATACTTGCCTGTTTTGCTTCTTTTTCTGAGATTGAGGAACGTCCAGGGGTGTAGTTTTCTATTTTTCCTGGTTGGTTCGTATATTTATCAGCTGAGTTTCGTACAACGTCAGAAGACATTGACCTGGAAGGGCTCATCGTTAGTATATTTGTTTATATTAGATTTTACATTTTCATTCAATATGGATCTTAGATCAGATATTTGCCAAAATAGATTATCACAAAGAGACAGTGATATGACAACGCAACCAATTTTTGTTTTTTATTTTAATATACAAACCTATTAACTATTGGCCTTGGCATCGTAGATGAAATATATTCCGTAGATCGATCTTGTGGCGCCGGCCGCCTTCTATCCAGAGTTTGATATTTGTAGTCGGTGAAATCACTGTCGTACGCCCCTGGTTCAGGTTCGGACAGGTAACCGGAAGTGTAAGGGTATTGCGCTAAAAATCAGATTAAACTATACTTTAGATATAGAGTGAGGTAAAATTGATAAATTAATTTTTGTACATTTTACATTTGGCTGTTATTAAGCGGTTATCAGGCACTAAATCCTATGCGTTGACAATGTTAATGATAATTATTGTATATAACGACGCAACATATTGTAACGAACAAGCTTATTTCGATGTACCCCATATAACGGTTGCATCTCTCGAGAAGATGATGTGTGTTCAAGAATGTTCTTGTAGCCAAGGCTGCCAGGTCTAGGGATTTATCCCGACTCTAGGGATATTTCAGTATTAAAGCGACAAAGGCATTTTTTGATATTTATAGTAAAATCTAGGGATTTTTGACCGGCTCAAATATTTACCTACATAGACCTATTATGATGACATTTTCTTTAATTCAGGTATAAAACCACTTCGTATTAACAGTATTAAATAAGCGATCTTTCATTACAAATAATTAAACTACTAGTAAACTACTTAAGCATTCATTGCTGACTGTCTACGTTCTTGGAATTAGGGGATTTACAAAAATCTTAGGTTTTATAAAATAAATAATTAGGGGATTTACAGTAGGAATCGGGTGAATCCCAGGTTTCGTGGAAATATATCAATAAAATTCTATGCTTCGCCGTCTCATTTCTCTTTAAGTTTTATTTTGTGTTAATTTTATTAAGTGAATAATACAGAAGAAGATAACTTAACCGAAGAGGAAGAGGAAGGAACAAATATTAGGCTTGCAGACGGTAGCACTCAAGAAATAAGACAGAGCTATCACACCATATGCCTAATCAACAATGCGTGGCGACAAATTAAGTTTTACTACATGCCACATCTTTCCTCGGAAGCGATACTGGGCATCGATGACATGCGAAAATGCAGATTCTGTATCGATTTTTCAACAAACTGTCCCTACGATATCAACAACAGTACAGTCAACAACGCCGAATTTCCAATACACACCAATGAGTTGGACTTCGCAACACAGGAACAAGTGACCAATAACTTCACAGAAAAGATTCACAACGATGGCATCACGAAAACTCAATTCAATATTACGCCCACTTTAACAAAAGCACAGCAAAACAAACTGGAGCTTTTCTTACAAAACAAAGTGGCCAAATTTGACAAAATAAAAGGGATAACCCCGTTAATCAAACACACTATTAAACTAACTCACAACACGCCAATAAAACAAAGATACAGACCAAGAAACCCAGCCATGCAAAAGATCATAAACGACAAAATTGATACCATGTTGAAAGAGGGAATAGTAGACGAATCGAACAGCCCCTATAACTCACCTATTGTATTAGTAGAGAAGAAAAACGACAGTTATCGATTTTGCATATATTTCAGACGTATCAATGAAATCTCCGAGAAAGATGCATATCCACTTCCATATATCAATCACATACTAGACAAATTAAAGGCCGCAAAATAAATTTCAACACTTGATCTGAAAAACGGGTATTGGCAAATACCACTAGCAGAAGAAAGCAAGCCTTTAACAGCATTCATAGCTCCGGGGAAAGGTTTATTTCAATTCAGAGTCCTTCCTTTCGGACTACACGCAGCTTCAGTCACATTCCAACGCCTATTAGATTCAGTTATAGGACCACGTAGGCCACGTAGTCAATAGAAAAGGAATCAAAACCGACGAAAACAAGGTTAAAGCCCTCATCCAATACCCAGCCCCAAAATCTATCAAACAACTAAGGAAATTCCTGAGAACCACATCTTAGTACAAGCGTTTTATTCATGATTATTCTATGATCGTAGCACCTCTAACACAATTATTAACAAAGAAACATAAGTGGAATTGGGGCGCAGAACAATCGATTGCTTTCGAGAAAATAAAAAAATTACTTACACAGGCTCCCGTACTGATTTGTCCAGATTTCACCAAGAGATTTCTCCAAACAGATGCATCAGACTACGATCTCGGAGTAGCTCTGATCTAAAAAGACGAACAAGGACACGATCGAGTCATAGCTTACGCCAGCAGATCTTTATCAAATGCGGAGAAAAACTACAGTGTAACAGAAAAAGAATCGAGCCATCATATATGGAATAGAGAAAATGCGTCCATACTTGAAAGGCTATCAGTTTTCAGTCGTAACTGATCACCAGAGTTTAAAATACCTACAATCAATAGAAAATCCGTCAGGAATTCAGGAAGATTAGCTAGGTGGGCCATGGCTTTACAACAGTTCGATTTCAACGTCATCTACCGCAAAGGAACGCAGAATCATTTAGCTGACGCACTCTCCCGAGAACCAGTAGACGCAATTAGTACTGTTACACTTGGAGAACTACAAAATGATTGGTACAAAAAGATAATAGAGGAGGTGAAAAACAACCCACAAAGATTCGCAGATTATATGATAAATTATAATCAACATTTCTGGGATAAATATGACAAAAACATACCGACATTTCTGGGATAAATATGACTACAAAGAAACAGAGTTATCTAATTCGTGGAAGCTCTGCATTCCATCAAATAAGCAAAAACAGCTAATATCACTGGATAAATACTGGATTGATTTGGTGGGGGCCTATGTCCACAGTTCAAGAACTTAAAGCTGAAGAAGAAGAAGAAGAAGAACTTTTGTGAAAAAGGAGCCGGAATTTATTGATAACTATTTCAAATCTACCATATTTTAAACAGTTTAATGCCAGGTGACTCGGAATGCAAGTAATACAGAAAGAGTGTCTTTTAATTCAAAGCCATTCAGTATCTTAGATATTTTTAAATTAAAAGGTTTAGAATAGCTACAGAAACAAGCACAAAAAATAAAATAGAAATAGACCTATAAATAGAAAAACGGAAATGAAAAAACAATATTCTATGTTTCTAATAGGTAATTACAGTAAGTTGAATGTTGTGTCAACTTCATGTAGGTACTGACAGAAAAAAATACTTGCACATCTTAAAATTTAAACACCCACATAGTATTAAATAGTTGTTATATTGCAACTCACCTAAACAATATTTTTTTACTTTAGTGATCCACACAGGCCTACAAATGATAAACTACTGTTTGTTTACGTGCAACGGAATGCTTCGAACAAATTATGCCATTACCCAATCGTGCGATAAGAGTAGTTTTAGTTATACATACATTTAACATAAAAAGGTCATTGTTTATCTAATCGTTTTTTAAAATTATTCCAATATTTTAAGCAACCTACCTTGTTTCAATTTTTAAAAGAATTCTATTTAATTTATAATTTTATCAACGTTGTAGGAGGTATACAATAATGTAATTTATAGATTGTGAAATTAAATTTGGGTTTTTTGGTAACTAAGAGAGTGATCACAAAATGTATGAACAGTTTTTTACTAAGAATTATTTTTTAAGAATGTAAGTTTTAAGCGTTTTAAAACAACTCCTTCTGCATCGTTGGAAGTCGTGCTGAATCTACCACCACTCCATATCTTTATAGAGGGCGAAGTCAGATCAATAATGCACAGATTAATCCATAGTCAGCAACATAAAAGCCAGATGCATGGTACTGTCAACAGAAAGCTAACCGAGGAGTTAAAAGCCGATATTGTGAGGGGGAAACCTATCGATGCAACAGGCAAACTGCATACCTACAAACTGATGCATCTTCACAGGCGAGACCACAGCTATTTTGGAAGCCTTAATTTTCTTCAAAACGCATAGTGAGAATAAATGTGTCATCATCACTGACTCATTAAATACTCTATTAGGTAGACACTACTTGAGCCTACAACCTTGATGTAGGAATGGGACAATTGAGAACTCGTTTCTGGCGGGGAGAGCTGGATGCGTTACCAGTACTACAGGCAACCCTGCAAAATTGAAACAAGACAGTATATGGAGACAAACGTGGCAAATGCCTACTGCATATACACCGATGGCCCCAAAATGAAAGAAGGCTCAGGATGCGGGATATACTCCAGATCACTGAACCTATGAATAAAGTGGGGTATGGGCAAAAATGCCAGTGTAGTTCAGACAGAACTAACTGGTATTTCCATAGCCGCAAAAGAGATAACCCAAAAAAGTATAGCAGGGAAAACTATAATGATCTGCACAGATAGCAGACAAGCGCTACTAACCTTGAATAGACCACGTGTCATATCAGGTTTAGTAATGGAGAGTCACTAACTTAAGCTTCGAATGGTAATACCATCATCCTGAAGTGGGTCAAAGGACACAATAGGAATAAAGGCAACCGCATTGCTGACCAATTATCTAGGAAGGCGGCGGGCCTAAGACTCTTAGGACCTGGGGATCTTTTTGGTTGGTCAACTACAACAATAGCGGAAATTGTCAAATGTCACTCCCATAAGCAAACCGTAAAAAGATGGGAAGAAGGGAAAGGATGTAAACTTACCAGGGTAACACTAAGTAACCTTGAAGAGTCAACATCAAAGAAGTACTTGGGAATGGCCAGGAAAAATCTACGTTTGGCAGTTGGTTTTTTAACTGGTCATTGTCAACTAAGCAAACACCTCCACACACTGGGGCTAGTAGACACACCTCTATGTAGGAAGTGTGAACGAGAAGACGAAACTGTAGAGCATATCCTATGTGAATGCCCAGAGTTATCGTTAATACGAGAGTACGCGTTCGGCGAGTCCTGGCCCACACCTGCCCACATAAGTGAGATGTCTCCTGGTGACTTGTCCACCTTCCTAGAAATGGCAGGATGGACAATGAGCTAAGGGTGACAGCTCCCTGGGAGGATGCACAATGGGTCAATTGTGGCCTAAGTGCTGTGAAACTTAACTCGCCCTCCCTACTCTACAGATACAGATACAGATACTCTATTAGGTGTAAAACAAATATAACCTAAAAATTCAATACTTCGGGCTATAAAAAATGAGATAAATATAATTCAATCAAATCGAAAAGAAGTAGCATTTATCTGGGTACCGTCGAATGTAGGAATCGCTGGAAACGAGAAAATGGGCAGCCTAGCAAACACAAGTCGAATAAACTCATAATTAAAAA